GTCGACATCAGAGTTAGTCAATTCAACTCTAAGCTAACATTTTACAGGCCTTTCAAACAGGGATGGGATTAAAAGTAAGTTGGAGCTTACCGCCATAAATAATACACACTTCTTAAATAACCCTGGTTTAAGGACAAGGTTCATGGAAGCCTATAATTCTATTTGTTTCACCGTTTTGTAGTATCTCGAGTACACAACAGTCTACACGAATAGAAATCTCCTTATAACTTTTGGCAAATTTCTATTGCTCATAAAATGTATAAGTCTACTAATAAGCAGCCGCCTTGCAAAAAGTTAATGAAGATCATGTGTCAAATGAAATGTATAAGCGGTCACACATACCTTTTATGCATTCTTATAGGACCTATGTGGTTTGTCTTATGGAATGTATAAGGCTGATGTTTTGGCAAAAATGTATAAGTGAAACACATGGATACAATAATTGATTTTGTTTCATACATACATTAATGTATAAAGTTGAAAATCATGCTCAGAGTTGGCTCAATAGAAACTAGTAATCTGAGTCATTTTTTTAATTAACACAGCCGATGGATGATTGATTAGATTTGTGCCAAGTGGCTTTGATGAACTTTGTCCATAGATTCTTTTTTCTTCAAGATGCTCTGGGATGAACTGGATTAACAAATAATTAATAAGTAGTTTACGCATAGTTCATAATGTTACTTATTTTTAACGATAATATTTTTATCATTTTTATTACAATGCCTATCCGTTTTTTGCAACATGCTTTTTCGATATTTTTTTTATTCCAATACCACTGATCGCTAAAGAATGTTGTAGTAAATAAACCCACAAATCGATTTTTAAAAATGGAGAGAGAAAAAATATCACTTGTTGCCAAGAACGGGAAGGCAGAGTATTCATGTTTATAAACTTCCGTAATTTGCTCATGGATGTAACCTCTTCTTTATAGCTCACGGAATTACCTATGACGCTCTTATGCTTATGAATGACAATGATTTGATAGATATGGATATAACACAGAAAGGCCTTCGAGTCATAATTATGAACTTCGTGAAAAACAATCGACAACAATCGGCGCATACGACGGACACATCTACGGATCTCGTAAATAGTGATCGAGAGCCTCCATTACTTGTGCCATCCTATTTCTCGGTAAGTGTTCAAACTTTTTTCCAGGTTGTGTCTAAAGTGATTTCCTGAAGAGTTCACAAATGGCCTTCATAATGGCTGATTTACTGAAGTGGCTGAAGTGGTAACGAAAGCAAGGATCTCACAACGAGTCACCTTAAAAATACAATTCCATAAATTTAACATTGAATAACAAAGAAACTTATCAGATTTCAGAAATCAAAACAACGTTGGAAAATACGTCGAAATTTCGTAATATTTTGTATGGTCAACTAAACAATGACCAAGTTCCGGGACATAACGATTTATTAGAAATGGTCAGAATAATTTGCAACCATTTTTTTGAAGATCGTGTTCTGAATCACCAGAAGTAAGTATGCTTTAATATAAAAGTATTAACATAACACATCGTTTAGGTACACATACACAATGCTATAAAAATGCTAGAGTTCATTTAGGTTCAAACAGCTGTCATTGTTTTTTTTTCTCACAGCAGCAGTTTTTTCGTGTAAATTAAAAATTTGGGCAACGAAATTGTGTTCAGTGTGTTTTGATAGGCCAGTGGAATGCAATAAGCACATTTTATGGACGAGATTTTGGTTTGAACGAAAAAACTGGTTTTGAAGTTAAAAAAATCAATAATGGCTGTTTGAACCTTAAAAATAGCTTACCTATTTACGAGATTTAACACAATTACAATGTGCTTTGTAAATAACCTGTTGAAATTAAATCCTCGAATAGTTAAATTGAATTCATTGATTTAATTAAACCATTTCCACGAAAATCTTTTTGATCTTTTTGTGATGCAATTTTTTTGCTGCTATTACATTCATGTCTGTTTTAACACTGTTTTTTACGTGGATTTCAGAATCTAGGCGGTTTTGTTTACATCTCAGTATCTATCTCAGATAAATCTACATAAATATTCAAGAAAAAATGCGATATGTGTTAATTTCAAATTTGGAGGAGCTTAAATATCTACAATAATTTATATTATTGTTTGTTTTAATGTTAATTCATTGAAGCATTCCTTTATCTCCTTTTTAGCTACCCAACTCGAGGCGAAAAACAATTGCTCGCTAGGAATATTTGTGAAGCATTTCCGCAATTAAAAAAGACAAAAACAAATGTCAATGGTCCTGACGAGGTATGCAGTATCGAGCACAATTAGTTTAATTTTTCTAAGGTTTTGTTTTATTTATTTTTAGTCATTTTTCTTCTGGTCAAATGGCGGTGCATGTAAAGGGCCGCACACTGGCCTGATTGAACAGAGGACCAACAATATGCGCAAAAAGGTCCCTAAAGAAAATCGGAAATTTATGAGAAAAACTTCATGTTCCTTGAATTCAGATGAAGAAGATCGTCACGCTGAAGCTGCTAAGTTTTCCGCTGAAAAATGTGCCACCTTAACGCCAACGCCGGAAAACTGCCACATTATTTCTTATATGATGTATGAAGCCACCCCGCTCCATAAGTCGATGCTAAGCAGAAATCGTAGCGTTTCCGACATCATTCGTCAATTTCCGCATCTTCGATCTTACCATGGCTTGTTGGTATTTACTACAAACTTTGAATTGAAAAAGTAAACTGTAGCATAGATATTCTATTCTTTTTAGATACAACAAGCGTACAATAGGTTCACAGGAAACCGGACATCAGCACCAGATCTAAAGGGATTTTTATCAAAATCGTTGTTGTTACGACGTGACATTTTCAATTTCATCGATGATGGTATGTTTAAATGTATTTTTTAATTCCTAAGAATATACATTTACAAAAGATTTTTTTCTTTGCTCTAGAGTACATTCGGGCGTGTTTGATAATCATGAGGCAGTTGCCCGTTCGTGGCTGTAAACGTGGTAGAGAAATGGAATGTATGTCAGTCGATGAAGTATCAGCAGCTCCATTTATACGATGGGTTAAGGTATAGTATTTCACCGTTTTTTCATCAATTTTCTCTTCCTCGAATGCACTACACGGTTAGAAAAAAGTACCCAAAATTAAGTTCTTTTCACTCATCTCGGCACTATAGTGCAGGAACCCAAAAGTAGGTAAAGCGGGTCAAAGTAATTTTCATTTACTTGTGTGCAGTTCGTATGGAATTTTCCACTGGCTTTTTAACCAAAAGTAAGTTAGTTGTACCCAACAGTAGGTAAATATGATTATACTCAACGTTGGGTTCCCACACTTTACTACCCCTGTTGGGTGGTTTTGCCCCTCCGTTTTTGACAACATTAGAAGGAGAAAAGGAGGCAAACTAGTCAAAAGTAGGTAAAAGTGAACTGGCCGTTGGATACTTTTTTCTTACCGTGTAGATAAAAATTTCGTTTGATGTCGAGTTTAGCAATACACTAAATTTGGTATTTACCCTTTTTTCTCCGCGGTAGTCATTATTTGCTTAGATTTCTTCAGAAATGCGTTTTAAACGTAACTTCGTTTGGTTCTTCCTGTTTTTTTTTCGGGATTTTCGTGGTTTTGAAATATACACTTTTTTCCACATTTACGCGGTTTTTTTTACGTGGCACGTATCCCTCGGGTAAAAACCGAGTTGAGTATCCTAATCTATTATTGTCAGGAGGGTAAATATGAGGTCTACCCCTCTGACAATTATTAGTTCACCGCCAAAAATTAGCTCTCAAGGATTTAGTATATCCATATTATAATATAGGTCACAAAACTGATCAAAAATTTAAGCTTGGCAATGATCAACCACACTTTTTACGAAAATTATTAAAATTCAGCTATGTATATTAAGGGATCTTTTCAACGGTCGTGTTTGTATCGCATAGGTATTGGACACTTGAGGAATCTACAAGGAATCACCTTCAAAATGTCTACGATTCTAATCCTTAAAATGCTATTGTATATTTTCAGATTGAAGACCAATACAGTCACTTGCATGGTGGCCAATACCCTGCGCACCTGGCGTGTATCGCCGATGTCTTCAAGAAGGGTTCCTACTACGTGGTTCATGGAACAGAGCACGTCGACTGCGGGGATGACTCGGTGCAAGCCATTGATGTTTTTTATAAATCCTTTAAGGTCTTTAATTTACCTGTTCCGACCCTGCTGAGATCACTTCATGACTCATTCAGTATTATTCATTATAAGACACTCACACAGAGCAGAAGTGTTCAAGTGAACTTGTTAGTGCAGGCATTCAAGCAAGTAGAGCAGGCTCAGTAATCGCTTATTTTTGTAGGTCTTGTGTTTTTTTTGAATCGTTTGAAAACGATAATAAGTGTTTTTATTGTTATGCACATGCATTTGAGAATAAAAAAAAATACATAGCATTGTAAACTTACGGTAAACTTGTTTAATGAGGGTCTAGGATAAGAGAGGATCGAATTCGAAACAAACTGCCTCGGCAAGCTGCGTCTAGGTGGTTCATAGTAACCCTTTAAATGAAAACAAAATTAAGATGAGCACTGCTCGATTACCTTCGTTTGGCTCAAAATCAATTCTCCTCTCCTCTCCTCTTTATCCTAGACGCTCACTAAACTGTCCAATTTATTTTAAACGTTCATTCAAAAAAAGAAATTTTTCCAACTCAATTCAACGGGGTTTCCTCCAGGGTTTTCTCGCTTTTTTTCTTTTTTCCGCTGGGTAGAAAGTTACCCATTTTGAAAGTTCGGTTCTACGAACTCATTTTTTGAGTTCGAGGCCAGTTACCCAAAAATGAGGAGCGCTAACGAACTTCGATTTTGGGTAACTTTCTACCCATAAATGGGTAACCGGGCCTTAGCGTGTAGCATACTAGCATGCACTCACCGAACGAACTGTCAAAAATCAACCAATGACGTTACAGAACGTACTTTGTTTACAAAACTACCGGCACGGCACTCACGGTAGTTTGAAGTCTTATAAAAACAAAATCATTTGTGTGAAGTCACTTGCTTATTGAATTTCAACTCATTTTGAATAAACTGTTGTCTAACAAAAATGATGAAACTAGTGCTAATCCTATTGCTACCTGGCATAGTGTTATGTGGGCCGGAAGAAAACGAAGGAGTGAAATACGCCAGCAAATGTGAAGCGTGCAAAATTCTAGCCACCGAGTTACAGGCCCGTCTATCAGAAACTGGCAAATCACACGAAGTAATTGAACTGGGGTAAGCGTTAATTCGCTCTTATTTGTTAAAGCAGATAAGGGACACGTAATTCACATTGCAGTTCCCATGAATTTTGTTCGACGGTATTCTCAGTATTATGCTAATTTATGAAGTGATTTGTCATTAAAGAACATTTTCTTCTGACCATATAATTCTTCTATCTAGGTAGTGAATGGATCCGAGGGACACGTAATACAAAGAACCGGTTGAAGTTAAAATGCAATCAAAAGTACTTAAAGTAATTACTGCGTTTTGTAGTACTGACGGTAATTAGAATTATCTATCCGTAATAAATGTAATTAAAAGTATTTAAAATGTAATTAATGTACTTAAATTACGAAATTTCAACTGTAATTAATGGAGTTAACATGTAGTTATTGCTCTAAATTGTGTAATTAATGTTATTAAAGCAGTAGTTAATGAAATTAATTTAATTACAGCCGTTGCCTGCGTTGGAGTTAAAGGTTATTGCGTGCCCCTAGAATGGATCATTACCTAATGGATACTCCTTACCTTCTAAGGAATACTGTGTTTAAACATATTCATATTAGATTGATGGTAGCGCTTCCTTAATCACCTTATGCTTGGCCATTTTAACTCCCATTTAGGCCAGGCTTCAAATTTATTTTTTTTTATTTTTTTTTTGTAATTGGTATCGGTAGGATAAACAAAATGATAGTGTTTATAATCTGCTAGACTTTAGTTGTAATACCACTCCAATCGTTCAGTTCCAGGTCAAATGATACCCTGATGCTCCCTCCCAACTCAGTATTTATTTATATAAAGAAAATGTATGTAATGGATAAATGAAATATACCAGAACATTAAAATACAAATCTAGATAGAGCTGGAATTAGGGCCTAACAGCTTTTGTAAACAATGACTTCTATCGATGATTTCTAGAAATTCAAGGCTCGCTCACGCAAACCAACATCCTTATCGGGTAGGGAAAGACTTCCCCTTTCCGATGGTTGTATTCGTCTGCGTGGGCATGTCTTGAGTTCCTAGAAATCATCGATAGAAGTCAATGTTTACAAAAGCTGTTACGCCCTAATTCCAGCTCTATCTAGAAATAGTGAAAATACATTTATATGGATAAAAAAGCTGGTATTCTGCAATGAAAATAATAAATATTTACATACAATAAGAAGCAGCTCTATGTCTCCTCAGCTCCCAAAAGAGATTGCTGACGTTTATTGTACGCACACCACATCACGTATACGTATACGCAAAATGTTTTCTTCGGGAAAAAAAACTTCATAGCGGAAAATGTTCCCGATGAAAACAAATCACTGACACAAACATACTTTATCAATCTCCATATTAGATCGGTGTATAATGAGTCACGCCAAGAGTGAAGCCAAGTCTACCTATTGAACTGTCAAATCGGCTACCTATCGTGCAAAGTAAATAAACATTACGATGCTATGAAAGGTCTACGAAAGGTATTGCAATGAAATATAAAATAAAATTGAAGAAATCATCATAAACACGCAGCGAGCATTAAATGGTCATGGGATACGTTTGGTTTTGATCAGTAATGAGAATTTCTACTATTTTTTGATAAGATAATTTGACAAAATCACTGATAGTATGATTCACTACAGCCGTTATTTTTGGTTCTCGCTAGAAGTCATTTAAAGTTGATGTAGAAGTCCTCTGTTGCCAAGTGAAAAGAAAGGGAATCCTTCGGAAACCGTGATGCGAGTTCAACTGTTTTTCTCTTGGCGTGACTCATTATACACCGACTCTACTCCATATAATAAGGTGGCTATAACACTAAAATTTCAAGGTTATATTATGCAAATATGCCGGCTCTGGTGGTGTAGTGGTAAGCGTGATTGCTTTCTCACCCCAATGGCAATGGGTCGAGGTCGGTGGGATTTTTCTGAGGCATAAATATCTCTGGTCACGTCTTCCTTCGGAAGGGAAGTAAAGCCGTTGGTCCCGGCTCATGTGTTTTTTTTTATTTTATTTGTTTCCGTGACCACTAATGCTACCGACGCCAGGGAGGCAGCTCCCACACGTGGACTCTACCTATCGACTCATCAACTCATGAACCGGGGACCAACGGCTTTACTTCCCTTCCGAAGTGCTGACTGGGAATGAACCCAGGCCTATTGGAGTAAGAGGTTATCACGCTTACCACTACACCACCGGCGCCGCTATTATTATTTTTTTTATATTTTGTATTGAAAAACAATGATTGTAGGGGAAATGTTTGTAATGTTGGCATAAGTTACCCTAATTTGGGCCCATACATAAATTCAGCAATCGACTAAATTTTCAATGGCAAACAAAAATATCCATTAGTACCGTCCCAATAAAGCGTTCATCTAGATACAATTGCTAAATAGCAGATTTTTAGCGATGGGCCCAATCTTAGATCCATAGGCCAACATTAGAGCCATTTCCACTATTTGTTTTTTTTTTATGGTTTCATGGTTTGTAGATAGAGGCCGCAATATGTTTTTATATTCTTCCATGAAAATTTTGGCTTTTTACACATTATATCACAAAATCAGCGATGTGTAATATTTTGTTTTTAATTATCAAGTTTTGGGTTTTTGTTCAATACTCCTATGCGACTAGCGTACTATGTATTTACATCGATTTATATTGACTGTAACATGGTCACGAGCGAAAACCCAAAACTTGATAACTTGAAAAAAATAAAACTAACAAACGAAAAAAAAACACAGTGTTCCGCCAAGATTTCGAAAGTTATTTTCCATTCTTTAAAATCCCTGTGATTGACACGGTTGTCAAAATCTAACCACTTGCCTGTTAGAAATAAACACATAAATAGCAGTTGCAACGTGCTGTCAAATCATCCTACTAATCATTCTTGCATGAAATTGATTCCAAACGAAACAAACTATGTAGGTTTCTTATGGTTTGTTTACTTTTGGAACCAGTTATACGAGGTAGGCGACGATTACAACCACATCCCGCCTCTGAATAATCGATAACATTTCATCTGTTCCTTTTTAACCACTTGTTAAATTGAACCCGGTAATTGGGACACAGTACTAATAAACAAATACCATAAACAAACGTTAACCCAAATTGTCGAACTTTTCTGCAAATGGTTTGGATGATACCCCAAACACGTAGTTAAGCAACATATATGTATATACAAATTTTATTAGGGCTAGGCTGTTTCGATTGAGTTTTGTAAAATCCAAGCCATATACCGCCCCAAGGTTTCCTGCATAGATTCAACTTTATCCGAACTGAATCCAAACTTGCCAGAACGAATTAGACATTTTCCTAAGTGATCCCCAGATTTTTGTTAAATGCTTGGGCATTTTACAAGGACGCTATCTTGTTTAGGTCATCTAGCTTTCCTTTAAGTGTAGAAAGTTTTTCGAAGTGAACCGACATTTTTTTGAGCTTAAATTTTCCAAACGGAGTCCAATCTTTTCTAAAGTGGTTAAATACCTTCCTTAGGGAGTTCAAACTTTTCTGTTGTGTGATTGAATTATATTTAATGTTAGTCTGAGCGTTCCTGAAGTGATTCAACTAACTTTTTTTGACGTTGGAGAACGTCTTTCGGCAACATACGGGGGTACAAAATTGAAAACAGTCATTTTGGATGCGTTACGAAAAATTAAAAGATTTTGAACGATAATAACTCAACCGTCTATCGATAGATTTACAAGATAATGGCATCAATCGATTGGAAATATTTCTAGCAATTTGCTGAATGTTTTTTTTTTTTATATATTATTATAGTCACTTTAACACTCTTGGGTCATTCGTGACTTGTCCGGGGGTGAGATTTGAACTCGTGACTTTGGCGTGAGAGGTATGGATGTTAACCACTACGCCGGGGTCACCCCCATATTTGCTGAATGTTTCAAAACTATTGATTTCATTCTGTAAATTATTGAAAAATGGTTAAAAGTAAACCATTGTCTAAAGATGGTGAAAATCGATTGATTTTTTTATATTCTTATACTTTCTCCAACCGAGACATCAGATGCGAGTATCTGACACCTCTGATATTTTCTGTTCTACTATATAAGCGTCCAACAAGGTCGCCCGTTCCATCATTGTCTATCCGATCGTCGACCAGCAGCAGAGCAGCAGTACCAGAGCAGCGGAAGCAGAGCAACGGCAGCAGAGCAGCGGCAGCAGAGCCTGGGGGCGAAAGGGCAACTACGCCGAGTGCGTTGGTGCCAGTGCTCCGGTATACTGGGCCGCCTTCATGGAATGCCCAGCTGCTGCAGTTCTCAGTCGGTCGTATTCACCGTCTGCTCCGCAAGGGCAACTACGCCGAGCGCGTTGGAAAAATGGCCCTTTTCAGGGCCACAACATTATCAAGAAAGAGTTTAACGTACGTATGCGAGTATCTGACACCTCTGATATTTTCTGTTCTACTATATAAGCGTCCAACAAGGACGCCCGTTTCATCATTGTCAACAACATCAGCCCAACAAAACGGCCCTTTTCAGGGCCACCAAACTTTCGCAAAAGAGTCATTAAGGAATATTCCTAAAATATAATGTACACAATTAAGTACAACACATAACAGACGTTATCCAACGCCAACCCTGCGGTCGTATCTAGTATACAACCCTTCCAACTTTTTTTTTAACTCTTTATTTGTTCCAAATTCAAAATAAATTACATTTCATTTTTTAACCTAGGTGCTCCAGTTACTGCAGTAACGTACCAGCCTTAATTGTTATGATATATATCTAAGTGTTTTTACATTGTTCATGTCTTGGCAATTAAGTATTTTAAACAGGTTTTTTAACCTGCATGTCAGTATAACAATTGATATATTAAAACTGAAAACTAAAACTAAATCTTATCTAAGTATAAAGTGAGGATTGCAACGATTTTTGCCTGAAATTATTCATTATTTTGTTGGACATTTGTTCTAAAGTCTCAACATTCGAAATTCTATGTACCTCGGTAGTACTGTACCAGGGAGGCAACTTCAAAATCATTTTCAGAACTTTGTTCTGAATCCTTTGAAGTGCTTTTTTCCTGGTAGTGCAACAACTAGACCATATTGGCACAGCGTAAAGCATGGCCGGTCTAAAAACTTGTTTAAATATTAGAAGTTTATTCGTCAGGCAAAGTTTGGATTTCCTGTTTATAAGAGGATACAAACATTAAATATATTTGTTACATTTAGCTTGAATGCCCTCAATGTGATCTTTAAAAGTTAATTTTTGGTCAAGTATTAATCCAAGATATTTCACTTGGTTTGACCAGGAAATTGGAACTCCGTTCATAGTGACTATGTGACTACTACTAGGTTTCAAAAACGAAGCTCTAGGCTTATGTGGAAATATTATAAGTTGAGTTTTGGAAGCGTTGGGAGAAATCTTCCATTTTTGTAAATAAGAAGAGAAAATATCTAAACTTTTCTGCAGTCGGCTGCAAATAACACGAAGACTTCTTCCTTTAGCGGAAATGCCTGTGTCATCAGCGAACGAAGATTTGTGGCAACCCTGAGGCAAATCAGGGAGGTCCGAAGTGAAAATGTTATACAATATAGGCCCAAGAATGCTACCCTGAGGAACTCCTGCTCTAACAGGTAGTCGATTAGATTTGGAATTTTGATAATTTACCTGCAGAGTTCTGTCAGTTAAATAATTTTGAACTAATTTCATAATATAAAGTGGAAAATTAAACTTAGTTAGCAATCAAACCTTCATGCCAAACACTGTCGAATGCTTTTTCTATGTCTAGAAGAGCAACTCCAGTTGAGTGGCCTTCCGATTTGTTTGAACGAATTAAATTGGTAACTCTTAAGAGTTGATGAGTAGTTGAATGCCCATGGCGAAATCCAAACTGCTCATCTGCAAAAATTGAGTTCGTATTGATGTAAAGCATCATTCTATTCAAAATTATCTTTTCAAAAAGTTTGCTAGGGCGGTAGCTAGAAGCTTCAGCTGGATTTTTATCCGGCTTCAAAATTGGAACAACTTTTGCATTTTTCCATTTATCAGGAAAGTATGCCAAATGGAAACATCGGTTAAATAATTTTACCAAGAAAGACAAGGTACTCTCTGGGAGTTTTTTGATGAGGATATAGAAAATTCCATCATCACCTGGAGCTTTCATATTTTGAAACTTTTTAGTTATAGACCTTACTTCGTCCAAATCAGTCTCCCAGGAATCATCAAAAATATTTTCCCGAGAGAAAATATTCAGAAAATCCCTAGCAACCTGATTCTCAATAGGACTAAATAGTAAGACCCAAACTGAAATTATGGGAACTGTCGAATTGCTTAGCAAGTTTCTGAGCTTTTTCCAAATTTGTGATCAACATTTTACCACCATCTTTAAGCGCTGGAATAGGCTTTTGAGGTTTTTTCAAAATTTTTGTGAGTTTCCAAAAGGGTTTGGAACTCGGAACTAACTTTTAATGTAGATTTCCCATAGACCCCTTTCTCGTTCTTGTGAGATTCACATCCTTTGAAAATTAGGCTGAGATTTTCAAGAATGGAGCTTCGTGTGTTCATACCTGATGGTAGATTTTTTTTTATGCAAGCACAATTGTTGAGAAAACTGCGTCTACATCCACAAAAAGACATATTTTTTTTTATAGAAATTTGGGTTTCTTGATCAGCCAAGTTAGAAGTCCTTTGAAATAAAAAAGACTTGGATTTTATAGAATAGACTTTTATAAGTTCATACGTGATGGTAGATATTTTTTTTAAAATCAGGTTGGATTTCGGTTCTATCGTTTGAAATTTGTGCTTGGATTTTATAGGATGGAACTTGCTGAAACCATACGTGAAGGATGAACCTGGTTAATATTCACAAAAGTAGGTTTTTTTCATAGAAATTTGATTTTTTCTGTTTTGTCGAATTGAATTTTGACTATCTTTGAAAAATAGGCTTGTACTATATAAAATAGAACTTGCTGAATCCATACGTGAGGGTTGTTTTTTTTTTTGAAAAAAACCTAGTACCGCACAAAAGTACGTATTTCCATAGAAACTTTGATTTTCTGTTCTGCCAAGTTGAATTTCGGCTGCGTCCTTCGAAAAATAGGCTTAGATTTTATAGAATGGACCTTGCTGAATCCATAAGTGGTGGTAAATTTTTTGATGCATGCACAATTTTTTAGAAAACTGGTTTTAAATTCTCAAAAGAACGTATTTTCGTAGAAATTTGGATTTCCTGTTCCTCCATGTTGAATTTCGGCTCCTTCCTTTGAAAAATAGGCGTGGATTTTATAGAATTGCTAAATTTTAAAATTTAGTTTTTATGCTCAGACAGATGTCTTTGAATATTAAGCTTGGATTTCTTTGAATAGACCTTCCTGGATCCATACGTCTAGTTAGATTGTTTGAAGCACGCACAATTATTAAGAAAACTGGGTTTAAATTCACAAAGTAGGTATTTTCATATCAATTTTGGTTTCCTGTTCTGACATGTTAAAGTTGAATAAGGAAGAACTATCGAAAACAGTACTTTATGAGGAACTATTACGATTGTGGTATTCCGCTTGATGGTTTATACCCCTTTCACATTACAGCGTATATCACGTGATATACGCTGTCTTGCAATGAGCACTCTTCTTTTCTTTATTTAACGTCGGTCTCTGTTCCGCAATCTAGTGCCAATCACCGACGGACATCGATTGCCATCCATTGACGGCAATCGAATGTGCAGGAAGGCAGCTTCCACACCTGCGTAGGATATCGCACCCATTCAACACACATGGGCAGGGACCAACGGCTTTACTTCCCTTCCGAAGGAAGACGTGACCAGAGATTTTTATGCCTCAGAAAAATCCCACCGACCTCGGCTGGGATTGAACCCAGACCCATTGGGGTGAGAAAGCAGTCACGCTTACCACTACACCACCGGCGCCGGCTAAACAATGAGCACTCATACATCTAGTTTTCACTGGAAATCCTATGTATGAGTGCTCATTGCAAGACAGCATATATTACGTGATATAGGCTGTAATGTGAACGGGGTATTACCCGAAATTTATCAAAACCCAAAAATTAGTGGTTTTATCCTATTAATCTACATTATTACCAATGTTCTTCCTTGAAAGGATACAAAAACTTAGGCGCGAAATGTCTTGAAAATAACCCGAATGTTACACATAATAAAGTCAACTATTGTGACTCGTGTTATGCATTAGTGCCAACAATCACGGCTTCAAAGAAGTATAAGGCTAAAGTGATGGCTAAGAAGTAATGTAAACGTGTTTGAATGTTTTATTTTTTTGTTTTTTTTTATCCCCCCCCCCTTGATTGGTGCGAGCATCCGGCCTAATTGGAATAAACAACGAAATTACGATTAATTCTACCCAAAATTACGTGCAAATTTACGCCAAACCTAGCGACTATAACGAGTGCAGAAATTTGCATTATTTTGTCAAGGTGTATGTTTCATTATTTTAAAGAAGTTTTCGAATGCTAAGCTCAAAATGTTTAAATAAATTAATTTATTTGTTTTGAATACATTAACCAAAAATGATGACATACACGACCTGCATATATATTGCACTACATATTAAATAATAATTCAAGTATTAGTGCAGAACTTTGGGCTAGCGTGCAAGAAAATCGTGTACGATACGATCGTACCCAACATTCTGCAAGAATATTTGGGCATTTAGACAAACGTTAAAGAAGTCTATAGTTTATAGCCCATAGTTCATATATTTGTCGCGAGAGTTAACTTTTGATCACGAATAGGTACTCTAAATAATGAATATCTAATATGACCTTAGACGTAAGTGAACTTGCTCGACTGAGATGCGTATGGTAATGATTTAATTATTTATTCTAGGTACTCCGTAGACGATGTTAAACCGAAAAAACGGACCGAGTACCGTCGAAGCGAACTTCGATTGCTGGAATCGATGGAAAATGTCTGTGATCGAATCCTCGAATACAATATACACAAGGAACGCAAAGATAGTACACGTTTCGCTAAGGGCATGTCAGAAACGTTTCAGACACTGCATGGACTGGTGAACAAGGGGGTTAAAGTTGATCTCGGTATTCCATATGAACTGTGGGATAATCCGTCAGCCGAAATTACCCAAATGAAAACGCAATGCGAAACGATGATTGAAAACTTTGAAGATATCATTGAGAAGTGGTATTTCAACAAGCAAGATGAAGTTCCACTAATAAAATACTTGTGTGAAGATCGAGTACTGAGAGCTAATGATCACCAATGCTTATATGAAACTATACCCACTAAAACAGACAAAGAGGATTCTACTGAAAAGAAACACAAAAAGCAGGAGCTGTGAATTAATTAAAGAACGTAAAGCGCTGTACATACGATGAACCGTTTCTGAAATAATTTGTTGTGAGCAAATATTCAATACATGATCCTGCATACCTTTTCACGTAAAGAAAAATGCGTTCGAAAAATTATTTCATCGTATGAACAGCGAATCATTCAAAGCAAATGAGCTGAACTATTTTATTAAACATCACGCCATGTTCACAATGTAATTTTTCAAATTACCTGTAAAAATAGAAAAAAAAAAATAAGTTAGCCATCGAACACGTAGCATCTCCTTCATAGTCTTTACCTATAACAATAAATACATTTTTTGATAAATCCTCCCTAGTATTTCTTTCTTTAATATTTGTCCGATACATATCCAACGTAAAATCTGGGCCAAACTTAAGGAAAAAGTCATTTTCTGGAATATCACGGGAAATTTTCACATCAACTATGAGAGCTGTCAGCTGTGTCCAATACTTTGCTGTGTTGATAATATTGTATCCACCTGAAAGTGAGACTAATATCAGACAATAAACTCTTATATACCTTTGATACCACAAGCCCTGAGTGAAACCGTACCATAGTAAATTAAATATATCTTACCTCCTCCCAGGAAAACGGTTGGTAAATTCCATCCAAGTACTTTCTGTACACATTTCAATAAATCCTCAGGCAATAAATTTGTGCCTCCCAAGTGATCACCTACTATAACGTCTCCACCACATTGTACAATACACACGTCAGGTTTGAATGCACTGTAAGCTACCGTAGCAATTTGGTTGAAATATGGAACAAATATTTCTCCGGTAACATCCCGCAAGTATGGTGCATTGATCGTATAACCTTTCCCGGGACCAAAACCTATGTCAGTTACGGCTCCAGTTCCTGGAAAATATCCAGCCTCTCGCTGGTGAAACGAAACCGTCATAACGTATTTGCTGAAGCTGAAAGCATCTTCCACACCATCACCTGTAATACAAAAAATCTTAGTATGTACATACCTCGTTATGAGCTCCCTTTCTATCCAAATTCAGTTTAAGTAAAATGAAACTAGTCATTTATACCATGATGAACGTCGAGGTCCAAATAGAGCACTTTTTGAAATTTGGTTCGCAGTCTGTGTATTCCGATGACGATATCATTAACATAACAAAAACCAGCTGCCTTATTCCTGAAAAATTTAGAAGCAATTAATCATGTTGTCGAGCAGTTTTGGGACGACCTTCTACCAGCGATTTTAAGAAAATGTAGTAATATATATCAGAGTTTTAAAGCTTGCTATAAATAAGACCCTATTTCCTCAAAGTTCGAGTGGTAGGAAACGTAATTAAAAAATATATATACAAATCTAATAGAATACAGCAGTGTTTTCAGTTTTGGACTATGCAGATGTTTTTTACACATAGAAAAAAGCGGAGTAAGATGGCCATCCTAACGAAACTTAAAAAAACAACTTTTCTTTGTGAACATAGCATTTTTCGTTGTCAAAACATAAACGAATCGTATATATGCGAGTGATTGCCATGTATACCGGATATTCTAGGTTCTCCAAATCATCCTGGAGTTCAGTTGATTTGTTCTACTATATAAACCAAGACTCCAATAATGTCTGTATTATCGAAATATGTCCAAACAGATTCAAAGTGTCTACGTGGATTGTACCCGATTGTATTGCTACGTATACAAGATGTTATAGGTTCTGAAATCATTCTGGAGATCAGATTATTTTTCTACTAGATCACCCAAGACTAATTCAATATCTGTAGTATCGAAATATGCCCAAACAAATTTGCAGTGTCTATGTGGATCATGCCAACCTATTTCCGTGTATGCCAAATGTTTTAGGATTTCCAAATCGATATTTCGATACTACAGATCATCTGTACTGCAAGACGATCTTGATTACCTTGATCATCTGGTATACATTGAAATAATTAAACATTATCCATATAGGCACTATGGATCTGTTTGGACATATTTCGATACTACAGACTTTATCCCAGTCATGGTTCATCTAGTAGAATAAATCATCTGAACTCCAGGACGATTTGAAGAACCTTGAACATCTGGATTACTCGGAAATAGATCATGCATGATCCACATAGACTGTTTGAACCTGATTCGACATTTTCCGATACTACAGACATTATTGCAGTCTTGTTTGATCTAGTAGAAAAAATCAACTGATGTTCTGGACGATTTGGGAAACCTATAATTTCCGGTATACATAGTTTAAGTCGTGCATGATCCACAAAGTCACATATATACGATTCGGTTATGATTTGACAACGATAAGTGCTAGGTTCATATTAGAAAAAAAAAATGAAAATGTCTCACCATTGGAAAGAACCCAAGGAATATCCGTGAAAATACACAACCGCGACGTGACCAACAGGTGTGACTTATGAAACTCTGGTAATTTCTCGATTATGTGCAGGGTGTTTGGTTTGAATCGGTAAAAAAATGAGAAAACTAGAGCCAAATTAACTACAAAAAAGCAAAATACGTCAGAGACGCAAAGGTAATTTTCAAGAAAATTTGTATTTCAAATGAAAATGCATTATTTTTTTTTTAAATAATGTTTCATCAAATCTAGGCCGGTATTTTTCAATAGAATCTCATAATGTAAGGGTGTTTTATTATGTTCACTAATTTCTCATAATGTATACTGTACATAAATAACTGAAGATGATACAATGTTATTTAAAAAAAATCAAAGGTTACAAACGATACTCCTTTAGCTCAGTCGGTAAAGGCGCAGCTACAAAGCAAGCCCATAATGGAGGCGACTGAGTTCGATTCTCGTCCGCTCTATTAATTTTTCGGGTTGGAAAATTGCTCTATTTATTTGGGCATAGGATGGTACAAGCATAGAAAGCTCTAAATTAAAATGTGAAAGTACTTCAAAGAACACTAAGTTGAGAGCAGGCGAAAATCTAATATGCTATAATAGCAGTAAGCTTGAAATGCAATGTAATAGTATACAAACGATATGTTTAGGCAATGAAAACAGTTTTTTTTGTTTTCGCTGTTTAGTACTTGAAGTCGCGGATTTCTTTTGAGGAATCGCGGATTTAACGGATCAAATTTATAAAATCTTGTAACAGCCCTGCCTTGTTTGACTCTTCGATCCTTGTTTGGATCCTACCCGAGGTAATCCTTCTTGGATATCGATTTGGAAAATTCCTCTTTAATCCTTCAGATTCTCATAGTAATCTGCTTGGAAGTCGATTTGGATAAAAAATTTACTGCCGCCATGGCGCCTAAGCGCAAAAGAAAAGGGCAATCTCCATTGGCGTTATCTGGAGGGGGCCTAGATGATTCTGGAGGGGGCCTGTCCCCCCTGGCACCCCCATTAGCTACGGCAATGGCAATCTCTTGATCCCCCTTCTAATGCAATTAATTTGAGAAATCAATTTGATTTGCTCACGGATGATGAGAATGGTCCATCATCCAGGAAAAAAATCTAGTAAACTTTCCCGACTTAATGCCAAGAAGGAAAATATTCCCCCTATTGTGATAACTTCCGATTCCTATGCTCATCGCACGGAACTTTTGAACTTCGTGAAATTTTCAAAGTTTTCACTGCAAATTGGTGAATGCAAATATTGGCCTAAATCTTGGACGGATTCAAACGTCTTCACAAGTATGTTACTGAGAAGCAGCATCAATTTTTTACTTACGACACTAAAACTGAACGTGTGTTTAAGGTTGCGATGAAAGGATTGCCCAGTGGTGAATCCCTGGATCAGATCAAAATAAAAACCCATCCTGGCAATTCGCGCAACGGGATTTTTTTATGATTTTTTTCAAGTCTAGTGAACTAAACAACCTTAAGGGGGGAAGTACAATTAGAAGGCCTAAAAAGAGGCCTATCTTTGAGAGTGGATTGCGAGTAGGGAAATAAATGAATGTTAGCGATTCTTTATGTATGTTATTAAGGATTTAATGAAGATTAATTATCAGTGACATTTTTTTTTAAATTTTGCAATTTAGCCCAATTATTATAAATAATGTGAAGTCAATTTTTTAAAGCAGCACTTCGCGCCGTGCAGTCCCTACGTCCATGATCACGTCTGAAACAAAAAAAACAGGACATTAAATTTGAAGGTACAGCGCACAACATGAATTAATTCGTATGTAAAATTAATGTTTTTTTCACTAAAAAATTTGAAGTTGAAGAAAAAAAAATTAAAAAACCCTATTTTTTTCGACTTTGTTTATAAAAAAAAACATGTTTTAACAAACAAATCTAAAAAATCTTTCTATTCATGTTGTGGAGAATTTAATTATGAACATAAAACAGAAAACCGGAAAAGTTCAACTTTGTGCATTTCAGCCATTTGACATGCACTCACTGAATTGCGTAAAGGGTGTCCACGATGAAATTGCCACACTATGAAATTGCTCTAACTTTTTAACCGTTGGGTAGAATTTAATGAAAATTTGGGTGGATTTAGTTCATAGTGCATTATTTACATCCTGCAAGTTTTAAAGTCCTGTGATCAAAACTCGCGGAAATGGAGTCGTAAGAACAGCTCGTGCGTGATAAAATCTTGCGCATTCATCACGAGAACAAGGATCTCTCGCATCGTTCCATCGCTAAAACATTGGGAATCACGAATTCCACGGTGTCGCGAGTGATTAAGCGGTTCGAGGAACGGTTGACCACCGATCGGAAGCCCAGAAGTGAAGGAAAAAGTATTCCGTACAACACCAAAAATCACAACCGCGTAGTTGGGGCCTTCAACCGAAATCCGAACGCCTCCGTTAGGGATGTGGCTAAGAAGCTGCACCTAAGCCGAAGTTTTGTCCAGAAGGCCCAAACTAAGGCTGTGCTTCAAACGTTCAAGGTACAAAAAGCCCCTAATCGCGACGAGAAGCAGAACAAGTCCGCCAAAACCCGCTCCAGGAAGTTGTACCTCAACATGCTGACGAAAGTTGAATGCTGCATCATGGACGACGAAACATATGTGAAGGCCGACTTCAAACAGATCCCCGGCAACCTGTTTTTCACGGCCAAGGATAAGTTCAGCGTTCCGGAGCATGTCCGCACTCAGAAGATGTCCAAATTTGCGAAGAAATTCCTGGTTTGGCAAGCCATCTGCACGTGCGGGAAGCGGAGTGCACCTTTCGTGACTCAGGACACGATGAACGGACAGGTGTACATAAAAGAGTGCCTCCAGAAGCGGCTGCTTCCTCTCCTGAAGGCCCACAACGTCCCAACAATCTTCTGGCCGGATTTGGCCTCATGCCACTACTCCAAGGACGTGCTGAAGTGGTATGCGGACAATAAGGTTAATTTCGTGCCGAAAATGTTCAACCCTCCCAACACTCCGGAGCTCCGCTCCATCGAGAAGTACTGGGCGATTATGAAGCAGCACCTTCTTAAACGACCTAAGGTAGTGAAGACAGTCGAGGAACTGAAGAAAGTATGGGTTTACATGCAAAAAACGGTTGATTCACAGGTTGTGCAGAATCTTATGGCCGGGGTTAAGGCCAAGGTGCGGGCATTTGCGTATGAACTGTAAATAAAATACGAGTAAAATGGTAAAATGAAGTTTAATAGTTATTTCTCAATCCCTGAAAATTTGATGGCAATCGGATGAAAACTCGAATTTTGCGAATCAATTTTGTGTGTGGCAATTTCATCGTGGACACCCTTTATAACTTTTTAAATAAGTTCCGGACGGCTTTATGCTTTTAAAGGCTCATTCCCAGATACATATAGAGTAAATAAAGCCAAAAAAAAATTTGTCGAAAAAAAAAATTCTAATTGTACTTTCCCCCTTAAGGCTAGCCTTATGCTCCATGTCCGAGTAGACTGGCCTACATTTATATGAGAGATTTTTTTTTTCAACGAAATTTCTCATGAAAGTTTTATAGCGAAATTTGTTGCCTGTATCTCTTCTAATAAAAAAGATATATCCAAATTTAGTAGTCGTTAAGGGGGGAGGTTGTCGTGAAGGGGGGGGGAGGGGGTTTACAAACATTGAATTTTCTTATTCCTTATTGTGTCGCATTCCTCATTGTGGTTACGCCGTGATCCACCTGACTTGGTCCTGCTTGCTGCAGGACCAACTGGCACGCCATCCGAGGCGACAATGAGCTAAAGCACGACAGCAGCGCTGTTTTATATTTTTTCAGGTTCAAGCAGACCGATGTGCAACC